GATATACATAACACTTCTGTTCATGGGTTCATTTTTAATGCCTTAACCTGGCTTTTAAATAGTCATGGTGAACTATCAGTACTTTATTGTAATGACAAGCTGTGTGTGTCTGCTCTTTTTCAGTGGGGAATGAATCTGTGCATAATACTGTTAACTTACCTAATCAAACTATTGCATCTAAATTTAGTACATTTTAAATTTTTCTTTTCTTTTCTAGCATGATTTATGTTTTGGTGAGCTCTTAAGAAGACATTCTGCAAACTTGGTTCCAATTAAGTGCATGCAAAAGCCACAAAACAAAAGGATTCTTTCCAACAAGGAACTGTTACCAAGATTAAACTATGGAATCTGATGATCACAGTTGCATTAGAAAAAAAAAATGACTCCCCTATTTTTAAAATGTTTCCACACTTTATACTTGTGGAAAGACTGTTTTCGTATATTTTACTGGGATGTTGAAATTAAAAAGAATTAAGTGTAAATTGATATTAAATGATTCTCTGGTTTTGAACAGTTTTGACTCTGCACTCCATAAGGAACAGCCATAACTCTTCAAGTAGTGATTAATTACTGACTGTCCTTAGTATCCTAGAATTTTTTGTTTACAGGACCGTATAGTGGCTCACTTTGAACTTTTGAAACTCCATTTATCTATAAATCAGCTGTAGCTATAAAGTGCTCCTGAAGGACTGAAAGCTTTATGTATTTTCTCTGCAGATATCTTCACGGATACACGTGTAGGAAGAGTAGTTCTGTTTTTTATATTTGGGTATCTTCCCCTGTGTATGCATGGTTCTGAAACTTCCCATATTTCCACCAAACACTAAATATCCTTGCTTCAATTTTCAAGCATAAGTTATTGTGATAGGAAACATTGAGTTGTCTGTGAAGGAATGAATTTAAAAGATTTTATTTTTAAATGTTTGTGCAACAGTCTTATTAACCAATTGGCTAATAATGCAAGATTGATCAAATCCAATGGTAAAAATACAGCTCCTATGGATTTACAAGTCACACTAAAGACATTTCCAAGACACAGTGAGATTGAGAAACTGCCCTGCTGTTCCTTAGTGGAATAAATAAAAATCTCAAATTCAGAAATGTTCAGTTTTTTGCAGTGCCTTGTTTTTTAAAAAAAGTAAGTTTACTTGCTGTACTTAACTAATTAATTAATAATAGACAGTAGCATTGCTATTAAAATTCATATTGAGATGGGCTATATCTGGAAAAGAGATACTTACACAGAACTGTTAGACACTAACAGTTTCCTGTACTTTCAGTTGGTCTGTATGTTAATAGTTTTTAGTGGAGGGAGAAGAGTGGAAATAGATGTGCAGTGTAATTCCTCTTGGGATGAGCTACTGGTTAGTTTAGCTTCAGAAGTTTAGAAATCTTTCCCACTTAAACTAGTTTAAAGAATGGTGAAGTGCCTTGAGGAAGGTATGTTGGTGCAGATAATGTCTCCGGTTTTAGTAAAATGTGTTTACATAGATTAGTATTTGACCCTTCTGATATGGACCAGATTTTTGGATTCAGTGCAGCCACTTCATGATGCAGATGGGCCTTTGGTTCTGGAATAAAGGAATCTGAGCACTCATAAAATTTTCTATGGGGATAATGATTTTTGCCTTAGCCAATCAAAGGAGACAACTGACAGAATAGATACAAACTCCATGAAATTAAAACCCAATAGCTTCTTAGTTTGAAGTGTCTTTATCATATGGCATGCTTTTGTTGCAAATGTTTTCCTCCATGGGGTAGAAATAGCTGCAGAGTTAAAAAAAAATTTTATTTTCATAAGGAATAATGTCCCCCAAACTATACATTAATTGAGAATTCCATTGAGCCGTTCTAATGATGAAGTATGACTAATTTGTATAGTCCTTTCCCCAGAACCACAATTTGAAATTGGAGCTTTAAATTATGTACAGTTTCAGGATCATAGTAAGCACTCTTCAAAAAGGATTAAAGCTGACTTCCCTATTTCTTTCTCCACCCCTTGACTATTTAAAAAATGAATTTGACAAGCTGCTGAGCTGCAAGGAAAGTGTTGCATCCCACACCAATAGATGAAAGTTAACATCTTTGCTTTTATGGCGTACAAGCTGTCAAGGGCTTTCAAAAGTTCTTCCCCCTATGGCTTGACAACTTCTGTTTTCAAACTGTTTCTTAAAGTATCTAATGAAATTGTTGAGACACTTTTGCACTGTACCCTGAAGATTAACGAACTATCAAACCATGAAATCTAGTATTAAGATGCCTTCACTAAGTGTTCTGCTGCCAGCCCCGTCATCCAAAAGTTGGACCACTGCATTTCTCTGCTCTTAAGTGCTGTGGTGTGCTCAGTGGGAGTCTGTCTCTCAGGTAGCTACAGCCTAAACCATGTAAGTCTTTAAAGATATAAATTAAAGGTAGGGGCTCAAATCATCTTGAATCAGAATATTCCTGAATAGGAGGGCTTGCAACCAGATCCAACTCTGAACTTTCCAAGAGTGAACTTGCAGCCAAAATTCTGGTTTGAATTCATCATTCAGTATGTTTCATTGTGGACAAATACATGAAATGGAAGTGTCTAGGTTAATTTAACTTGGAGAATGTTCTCAAACTTTAGAAGACCTCAAAAAAGAAATAGAGGCAGACTTCTGTGGCATGAGAAGTTGTGGATTGGATTTGGCTAGTTAAAACTTTAACAGAAAATAGCATTTATTTTTCTTGTTAAAAATCAAGTTACATCTAACAAACTGCTTGTTTCTCATGAAAGCAAGTATGGTCAGACAAACCTTTGCACATACAAAAGACTACTGAACAGAATTTGAGTTTTTTCTCAACAAAATTACTGACCCTGTATTCATAACTGACAGGTATTTAGAGCCCTAATTGTACAGCCTCTCCTTCCTGGGCTGTGCCTTTAGGCATGTGAGTAGTCCCCTCAATCAAATCATGCACATGGAAAAATGTTTAGTATTGCAGTCTAGAGTATTAAGTTGAATTTCATTTTAAGCACCTGTTAAACTTAAGTGCAGTTTTACCTTAAAAAGTGACTGTAAAAACATGGGGGGGGAAGGTGGTGTCTCTCCATTTCTTCACTGACTGCTATATTAGAAGACACTATGGGCAAATTGTGTAATTTTCTGTCACCTCTCCTGCCTGCCAGTTAAAGCTTCTGCAGGATAAATTATGTCCACATCAACACTTGTTACTTCCATCAGCTGTCAGTGGGGTTTCATAGGCACAGCTAGGGCTATAATTTGGCTTGCAGAATTGTAGTGCTAATATTAGGCAAGACAGAAGAACCCATCTTGACGCTCAGATCTCAGCCTTAGTTTATAGTGCTGGTACAAATTCAAGTTTGGTATGGAAGTCATTGAGAAATGGGGAACTCTCAACTCATTTTTCAGGATAAGACCATCTATGCACCTTCTCTTGTAAACTTTAGACAGTGAGGTGATCTACAGTCTACTTTTCTTTCATTTCTATATTTTATGCTACCTATAAAGGCCCAGGTGCAGCAAGCTACAATTATTAACCATCTCCAGGGTGGTCTAGAAGAGCTTGCACTAACCACTTCACAAGTGGAGAAAAGAATACATGGTGCAGTCTAAAGCCTAACTACTTTACAATTTGTTGGGTAAGAATTAGCCTTTACACTTCCATTCAGTGACAGGGAACAAAACGAACTGGTAGTAAATTTAGAACATGAGTTGTTGATTAAACCTATATTGAAAGGAATAACAGATGCAAGGTGGTCTACTGTAATCTTCCCTTGTCCCAAAAAGGGTAGTGTAGTTCAGAAAATATTATAATTTATACCTTTCAAAATTAAGGTCTCAATGAAATTGTACAACTATATTTACACAACTCAGTGTCAAGTGCCTGTAGTCTGCTACATTCAAAGCATACGTTCATTTAGGACCATGTTACTCACAATTTTAGAAGTCCTAATAAGCCTAACAAATTCCAACCTTTAGTCACTTTCCTCCACAAACTGCAAATATTTAGGAGTTGGATATGAGCTCATTTCTTGTGTAAAAGATCAATGATTGAGTCAGCAGATAAAATGGAAAGTTGTCACTTAAACTAAAATGAGTTTGGTTTATTATAACATACTAAGTGAAACCTGTCTGAGCTTGGCTGAGACAATTCCTTCAAAAACTGTACTCTTCTGCAAAGCAAAGGTGATCCAGTTCTAGCATTAAGGCTCTTACAATATACAACAGTTAACTATGTAAACAACATGATAGGTTAAGTTTCAGAGAACTACACAGTTGGGAGGAGAGGAAGATTCTTCCATGAGACTCGTATCAGATTAGGTGTAAGGACAAAAGCATGAGGTGGTTACAACAGGAGAGTAGTGGAGAGATCTTGTCATCTTAGCTCCATGATACCGAAAACAAGAGACTGCTACTGCTGGAAAAGGCAGCAATAGCATTATAGCTCAAGTGGAGGGAGATTATTAGTGTTTTACCCTAGCTAGAAGCACCAGAGTGACTTTGGATTTGAATAAGTTAATTTTATTCAAGTGCAAGATCACTGGTGGTGAGAAGCCTTGAATGTCATTAAGAACTCCCATTTTGAATTACCAGATGTGGAGCATAAAGAGCAAATAAGTTCACTTGGGAACCCTCAGCATGCTGGCAAAGGTCTGAAGAGTATTTCTTTACTCCAAGTCTGTTAGATCACTTTTCACTGATTTCACTACAATAGTGACCTACTTGTTGAGTACAGAACCAGATTACCCCCCACAAGCATATGCCATCAAATTACATTAGTCATGGGCTTGTGGAAAGAACTAGACTACAGCTCTGGAGCACTTTCAAAATCCTTCACAACAGAAGAGTTAAAAGGAGGCCCTTTCTGGCTCTCAATAGCCCTGGCTCTTAAAGCTCAGCTGGCTACTGTTAACAAGTTACCAGATCTTTTTATTCCCATTTCAAGCTTCTCTCTCCTTCCATCCCCAATTGTTCCCACTGACTACTTACAAGAAAAAAAAAGTACAAATAGATAATGCATTAGCTTTATTTCTTATTTGAGATCCCCGGTAATACCCTCCATTGCGTAAATACCTAAAATGCAACATACAGAAAACGACAAAATTTAAAAACCAAAATACTAGTTCAGCATGTTGAAACTTGTATACTGGTAAGGACATACTTGATGAAGGGAATTAATGCATCAGCAGTGAACTGCTGAAGTTACTGTACTAAAACAAGTCCATTAGAAATGGCGGGGACACCAGCATAGCATTTCTTCCTTCATGTGTGGAAATACTTGTAGAGTATGAACTTAGAAATTATTCCTTGGAAGTTTGTAATGCAGGATTTACTATAGCTCACAAGACCCTTTCTAGCATCAGTCTTGTATCTATTTACAGTAGAGAGACTGGGTGTTAGGATAATACTTTGCTAGAAGGAGTGACTAATAAAGTGGTATTAAAAGGTCATGTAGGTGAGCAATGTCTTTTTACGTAGAACTTGTACTCAGCCGAAGTACCATATGTACACAAAATAGATATACCATAATGCTAATATTAGTTTTATCGTGATACTGATCTTAATATTGCATCTTTTGTTGACAGATGTGCAGCCAGGTTCTCTCGAAAGTCATGGAGATAGTTGTATTGCTGAAAAATGTACAATCATATTTAGCAAAAGTGCTGAATGTGACGGACATGTTAATAAAGTTTTAAAAGAGAGATTAAATACTTTGTGGTTTAGGCAAGTCTCTAGCTATTAGGTTAGGATAAGACCTAATTAGGGCAGGAAGAGGCAGATTACCCCAAATCTGGCTACTGCATGATTCCTACACCTTACTCTGAAGCATTTGGTGCTGGCTACTGTTAGGACAGAGACAGGATATTGGACTAGATGGACCTTAAGTCTGATCCAATCTGGCAACTCCTGTGTTCCTGTTATAGTGAGGTTGGAGATATTACAATTCTGTTTGTGGCTGGCCTGAGTTTCTAAAATATTAAAAATAGGAAACTGCTTCATTTGTGAATAAGTAGCTCCACTTCCTCTGCATATAGTCCAAGAAGTAGAACACTGCTTCCAGCTAGCTGAATGCAGAGCACAACAATCTACATAGAGGGCTGGTAGGCCAATTCACTCTTGAGTAAAGACTCCAAATGGTGTAAACTGCATAACAAGTGTTCAAAAAAATATAGGCAATCAGGGAAATTTAAACACAGATCCCCCATATCTAATAAAAGCAGGGTGGGACTCCCCATCCTCTCCCTAGCTTCAATAAACAGTGCTTACTCTGCTCTCCACTCCGACTGAGCAGAAGTGTGCCTGCTTCCCAAATCCTATTTGGCTACTTCAACTAGCAATAGGCAGCATTCTCTGGCACTCTGCCTTCTTTAGAAGGCATTTAAAATAACATTGGATCTCGAAGTTAAATGGTGAGATCTTGACTGGTGTACATTTTCTGGCTTTATAAACTATTGTCTTTCTATTGTTTTATGACTTATGTATTCTGAGAAGGTTTAATACTAGCATTGGGATCTGGGCAGAGGACGATGATGGATGATAAATGGAAAATGACAGCTAGAATAGGAACTAATGTGTGTGAGGTGGGGAAGTTTAAGAATCATGGCAGATGATCAAGGTGCAGTGAGAATTAAAGGAAAGGGCAGCAACAACCCCTATTATAAGCAATAGGTGGGAATGTGGTGGAGGGCAACAGGGGAGAGAGGTAAGAACAGAGCAAACTGGGGGGGTGGGGGAAAGAGAAGAGATAGAGTGGCTATTGGCAATAAAGGAGGAAAGATGTGAAGTTCTGGTGTGGACAGACCGAGGCTGTGTTGGCGTGATAGTATGTGACTAAAAGCAGCTCAAACCCAACATTCAAAGGCAGTAAGGACATGAATTACTAGAGGCCTTCTTTAACTCTCAGAAAGACAAAGCCATTCCCTTCATGAAGAGATCCTAGTACAGAGGCACAGTCCTCTACCCACCAGAGGTCTTCTCCATTTTATTATTCCCTCCCCCCAGAGCTTCCTTACCTTTATTGTCTGTATTGCCCCAGATCCTCTTAAGTCTCGGAGGCTCTCTATTGCCTCTTGGGGTTCCATTGCATCAGATAATTGAAGCAGAAGACATGCAGCTACTGTAAGGAAAAGAGATGCATAAATATGCATTCTAACAATCATCTCTGTATGTAATAAAACTTCTGCTCATTGATGTTTGTGCTTAGACAACCACTGGAGTCTCACGACCACTTCAGAACTGGAATTTCTTCATCATACAAAGGTCCACAGATCTGTTACAATGGATACTTCAACCTGGTTGCAGTTGGGGGTAGAACCAGGCCTGCCAGTCATTAGCAGCAGTGAAGTTTGCTCAAGTTTTCTCTGCATCCCCAGCAGTGTTCCAGAGGGAAAGTCCAAACTTTAATTCAAAACTTTAACAGTTTGGTCCCATAACATCTTGAGGGCTGCGTTTGCCTTTTGGGAGATTGTTATCTCAGCTCCGCTCCCCTTCTGCGGTGTTTGCACCTTTTGGCACCCCTCAGGCTTTGGGGAAAGAACTAAGCTGAGAAAAAACAGACAAAACGAGAGGTGTGTGTCTCCTGCTTCCTCCTCATTGAGGGTCATGCAGGGAGTTCTGCCAGCTCTGAGGGCAGAGTTCAGTCCCCGCCCTGGCAGGAATGGAGGCAAGTGACAGCAAAGATGTGGAAAAGGAGATAGAAGCAAGATCTAGTTTGTTCCCTTTACAAATCAGACATGAAGTCTCTCCACACTTCCACGTATTTGATAGCACAGAGCGATGGTTCATTGTTCACCGGCTTTTTTTATTCTTTAACAAGTCTGACTAGATAACAGTTTCTTAGTTGATCAGTACCATAAAATACTAAATAAACTGGCTTGATCCTGCTTCATTTACTACAGTGGATGCCTGACCTGTTCTCACCCATATTTCTGCCAACAACTGTAGTAACTGAGACCTATCAAAGCATAACCAATCTTATTATAGGATGCTATTAAACTTCTCCCATTTTCCATGCGTCTCCATAAGGCCTCCACTGTGCAAGGGCACCAAGTTCCATTTCCAACTCAGAAACCTCTGGTTCATAATGCATTTGGTCCTTTAGGCACCAGACTAATTTATATTTTAGTTCTATTACCAGAAGAGGACGTGGCTAAATTGTATTAAGTAATGACAATATTAAGCAATGACATGGGGGAAGGAAGGAAAAAATGCTTACTGAGACATGAACGTCCAAGTCCTCCGTAACAGCTGAAAGAAAAGAATGTCTTGTTTTAATAGTGCAGTAGCAACCAAAGTCCCAAATCAGCACTGGGGCCTCATTGTGTTTGGTAATCCTTGCAAGATCACACAGAGATCAAGATGGCTGGAAGCTTTACCTCCCTCTTTTGTGAACTCTGTGGAAAAAGAATTCATTCAAAAATACCTTGACCACAGTTCCACTCGTCTCCTATAATCTAAGGAAACAAGCCTCACAATACAGGTGTGGGACACTAGAGTTGTGTGAAAATTCAGTCCTTTGGTAAAACCTGTGGGAATCCGCCCCTGCCAAAGAGTTGTGTTCTAGAGTCACAGAAAGCAAGATCAGATCATTTTGGTAGATTTTATGCCCACAGCTTCTCTGGTGCCTAATGGGAAAGAAGAAACACTGCATCCAATGGAAATACCTCATCCTACCTCTAGGTCAAAATTCCTCCTACCCACCCAAAGTCCATTTCTTAGTGGATTAGTAGAATGCACCATGATATCCTCATGTAAAGTGGATGGCCTGAAGCAATGTAGACTTATTTTTTAGTATCCATTAGTGTTTCCTAAAGGCTCAGGAAGTATGTCCCTGTCAAGGCTGAATCCCCACTCTGTCACTTTGAGTGTAGAAGATGGGGGCCCACAAGGATTTTCAAAATTAATACTGGCCATTCCAGGCTTGTATTATACTCCCAAGGTTACAGCTTCTCTCTGACCTTGGCTTGGTAAACGCTCCCACCACCCAAATGCAAAAAAAAAAAACCCCAACCAAACCCTTTGAACCAGGAAGGAGCACTTGGGAATTCCTCCCTCTGGGGTACCCTCAAGCCCCCCCGGGGAAGAGCCGAGAAAGAAAAAGGAAATTAGCTGTTGCCACCAGCTAATCAAACAGCATATGCACAAACCTCTTAGGACACCAAAAATCCAATCCTGTTCTTTAAAAAAAAGTAAATTTTATTAAAAATAAAAAGGAAGAAAATATACCTGGAACTTAGGCTTTTGCTGGATTTTAAAAGAGCAATTCCAAAAATTAAGCATCCAAACTAGCTTTCTTGGGGATTCAGCTTAAACGTTACAAACAAACAAAAGCATCAGGGGTTAGCACAGAGGAGTCCACAAGCCAATAAGAAAAAAGAAATAACCCTAATTGTGTCTTTTTAGATATTCCCTAATTTTACTCACTATCTGACGCTTCAGATAGTAGGTTCAAGGTATGAATTGATAATCTATGATCATACCTGGCTTAAAGCTGCTTACAGCACTGCTGCTCCGTGTCCCTGCAGCCCAGAGAGAGCAACAGACAAAGGGAAAGTTTCCCCCCCACCCCAATTTTAAAAAGTTCTACCTTCCCATTGGCTCTTTTAGTCAGGTGCCCACTTCCTTTTCTTTACCTGGGGGGCTTTTATCCCTTTACAGGTGAAGCAAGCACAGAACAGCTACCAAGAGGGATTTTACAGTTAACTGGCTCGTTGGGTGTTCATAAAAGGGAGCTACCCCCAGCTTCATTTATCACAGTCACCCTGGCAGCTGCTGTGAATTTTAGTCAGTTTGTCTCAGGTGGTACGCCATGCGTCACCCCACTAGACCAGCTGGGAAAAGGGGGGGAGGCTCCATGTGTCCATCCCTACAAGGCCTAGCATTATTTCTCATTGAATGGGGCAAGGAAATGGAAGTAGTTGTAAGTGTGTGGCAGAAGACGACACGGTGAAAGAGAGGGAATGTCACAGTTTGAATTAACCCTAAAGGAAGCCAGCCAACTGTCATTTGACATTTGTTTATTGTACATTAAAGTTTTGATTGTTCATTCATCTGGAGGGAAGTTGATAGATGTCTTGTGGAGATAGGAAGGAAATAGGAACTTACTGTATTAATGTTTTCCGGTTGCTTTCCAGACAGCCCCTTAGTTCTTCCAGAATGGTACAGCAGTTGGTGATGTCAGGAGTGTCTCCATCAGGAATAGGATGATGGTGCACAATAATCCCGTGCTGCTGGTAGGAGTCTAGTAGGTTTGGCACCCGATATTTTGAGAGTTCTCCTCTGGTACAGAGCACAAATATATCCTGTGTCCCATACCTCTTTAATTCTTCTGCCAACAAACCAAGACACTTGCAAATAAAAAAAGCCTATCAAGTTTAAGATCTACTTAGACGAAAATGCTAATCAACTCAATTTCGGGGATTAATGTGAGAATCAGCAATGACCAGCTGACAAACACTAGAAGAACTGTAGGGTTAACCATGAACACTGTGTTTATGCTCATTGGTAGGATCCTGAAGTTGGCAAGTTATTGAAATAAAGATTAGAAGTGTTTGTGCTTAGGCTTTGAACTAACTCTTCTTGGGAAGCTTGCTATCCTACATTGGGATTATCAGAGCTTCCTGTTATGGTAGAGAAAAAAACCTAAAGACAACCGCCTCTGGTTATGGGTTGTACATAGGCAGCAGTGAGTACTCTCAATTGGCAGTGAACCCATGTAAGAGGTGATGTTTTTCTCTTGCAAAAGCGTCTCAGTACATTAAACAGTGCCCACAGCTTCACATTTCCCCAAGCACATTGAGCACTAGAGAAGACCGGATAAACACAACTGTCAAATCAATACTCCCTCAGGAACTTTTCACCCAGTAAAAGGAAACACTGCATGTATTTTTAAAAGGGAATTGCGAAACACGAATGCAGATGGCACATCTTAATTGCTTGCATAATGAGTGATGATTGTTTCATTTCTGAGAAAATACACGTGGTATCTGGAAACAGATTTGCTGGTTACAGAGATTATGCGATACAATTTTCAGTCTAAGAGAGCAGGCAAGATTCTAGTGACTAAAATAGTAAATGTATTTACTTTTAATTCACCATGTGCATTTGAAAGTGCTTACTTACAATATGAAAAAAAAGACCTAAATTAGTATAGTGGTCCATATATATTATATATAAATCGAAAGAGCAAGAGCATGTGTTCATGGGTGTGTCTATGTAGCATATGTGTGTATATATTTTTAATATAAACTTACCTATATCTTTCTGAAGATTTCTTTTAACATCCTTGAACCTACAGCCTAAAATAAAATATGAAGAAGTGAGTTGTATGGAATAGAAACATTTGAAAAAACAATTCACTTTTGCAAATAGAGTAGTTGTGTAGAGGAGAGCAGACAGAACCATCATGTTTAATAAAGTAACAGGGCAGCTTTTCTAAGCCCGTAACTAAAATTTAGTTTTTAAGCCTTCCCAAAAGAGAGAGCGCTTCTGACATGATTAACTGGGCTACACTTAAAGAGATTGGCAAGAGGTCAGCAAGACGTGAGATGGCTGTAGGGTTACTAGTAGGAAGATTCCCTCCCTCTCCACAAGTTCTGGCATATAACAGATATTAAACTCTCCTCCCTATTTGGGTTCTCAGCGTGTCATTATCATTACCTTATTTTCTCCCAGTTTATTCCATAAAGAAGAGCTACAAAAGTGCTTTTAACATGATGCATATACCCAACAATGAGAGTTATCAGGACAGAAAATGGGCACAGCAATGCCTGAAACCCAGGGGCAATTGCATGGGTTGCGCTATAGTGTATAAGGCAAATGTGTGTGGCTAGATTGCATGCTCCAATTACTGCTCAAACTATTCCTTTCCTCTAGGTCTGCTAACTTTAAAACTGCCCTTACCACCTTTACTGCCCTTACTACCTCTGGGAGACATTTGTTCCCTTCTGAAGATGAAGTGTTGAGATCCTGCAAGTAGGAAGTTATATCTGCTGGCTTCCAACAGGTGGAATTTTGTGAGGCAGCAGCAGGCAGGCAGTGTTTAAAGAACAGACATGAGTTAAGAAGGGACACAGGTAGTTTGAAGACCAACATTTCAAACAGGTTTTGTATTGAATCTATTTCCAAAGCCTAAATATTTAACACTTTATCTATAAACACATGTGTTTATAGTGTCAATGAAATTCCGTTTGGAATTAAACAATCCCCATTTTGGCATTTGCAACCCAAACATTACAACAGAATGTAGTGCATGAGAACGAGACAATGATAATTGATTCCAAGCTGGGAGAAAAATAAGCAGTAAAAAACACAAGTGATTAAAACAGGTGAAATACTTCACTAACATCTTACATTTTTATAACGTAAGAGTGTAGGATTTTTTAGATGTGATTTTTAGTTTGACATTCCTTATAGTGGAAAAATTTGGCTTTGCCAGAATTGTCCCATTTCATGGCCTTGCATTGACATTTACTATTATAAAAGGTACTCCAATTTGAAAAGCACACTAGTTGATCAGCAGTTACCTTTCATCACTTCTTCTGGATTAGGCAAAAGAGCCTCAGGCATCAAACCAAGAGATCTGATACCTCCACTCTTTCCAGTATTGTGTGCTCAGAAGACATGGATATCACTCCACTAAGCGAGTACGGCTTTGAAGAGATCTTTGGAGACAGCATAATTTCTTGGTAGAAAGCATGTTTTAAAGCTAACTTCTAAAACCAGCGCTACCTACCTGGCAGAGAACATACTCCCAGAAACTGAGAACAATAGAGAGACGACAGGGCTAACCTACCAAAAGAAAATGCAGAATATAAACTTAAATTCCAACTCAAGTTTTCAATATTAGACAGCCACTTTTTCTGTGGGGTTGTGGAAAAGTAATTCAGCAGTATTCCAGTTTGAATAGCAAGAATTACAGCCAGAAAGCTTTGTAGTGCTTACTGATAAAAGAGAATCACATGTCCATACTACAACATTTTATTTCTGATCACGTATCATACGCTTAAGTGAGAAGAGGTATCAACTATACACACGCACAGTGAAGAGGTTTTAACACTTCTGAGGTGTATATTAAAAGTATCAGTACTTCATTCTGAACCATTTTACTACTTGATTAAATTCCACGTTGCCTCCACTGTAAGAGCTATGGATCAAACCATCTTAACCTACAACATCTTCACAGTGTGTCAGAAATTAAGAAGTTACTTGGGAAGTAAAGTAAATGGATTTTAGTCACTCACACGTTATGTTTTAAACAGAGTCTGGACCAATATCTTCAAGTTGCAGAGAACCATGGTAGTTACATGACAACGAAACTTGCTAGTATACGTCTAGTGTTTGATTTCATTACTATTTCTATGACTTCTCTGAAATATCACTGAACACGACTGGCCTGCTGCAGGTTTCTTTAGGACAGGTACTATCTATTGTCCAGCTGTGTGGTTTTATAAACATTCAGGCCCACATTTACTGCAGATATTTAGTTGCAAGCAGCATACAAGTTTTCTATAAACCCTATGTTACTTGGGATATTTCTGCAAGGCCAGAAATTGCTGAGTGAAACATCTATGAGGGTATTTGATTACAAAGGATTTTCTGCTCAAAAAAATATTTGTCTTACCATGATATCTGAAATGGTGTCTGATCATCTTGAATAGGCTCTTCATCAGATGAGTCAAACTCATTTGCTTGCATCGCGCCAGGCTTCAATAGAAGAGTAATTGCTGTAAGGAATTGTTCGTCAACATTTGCTGTGTTGCAAGCACACTGCAGCAGATGAGTTTTTTTTCTTTAGTAAAAGATTACCATTGTTCATGTAGGATGTATTACTTCTAAGACCACTTTGATGTAACTCAAAGGTTTAGTTTAAGATGATAGACCGCAACATTACTGAACGTTAGCCACTATCTACAGGTTCAATCTTATATAAGATTTTGAATCCTTATCTGTAGCTCTCTGCTACGTAAATAGTTCATTAGGGTTGTGAAAAACCCAGGTTTCAAATAGCAAAAAAAATTACTTCAGGTTCTCTTTTTTAAACACCTGTAACTCTGAAGTATTCACATGAACATAACATACTTGAATATAAGATATGGGTATTAGAAACAGGATCTAATTTTAATATGTGAATGAAAACTTTTCCTCCTCAAGGTTATGAGTACATCAAGGTTCTTGTTATTCCTATTTTGAAAGTTTTGGAACTGTCTATGTAGCGAGAGAGGAATCAATGGCGATTCAGAGAAGTGCATTCCTAATAAGTGGATCAACTGTTATTAAATGTTGACAAGAGGGGAGCAGGTGGAGCAGTGAACGTGAGGAGGCCTTGGCTCGAAGGTTGGCATGGCACCTGATACACAGCTCTGAATAAAACTGGCTAGTTCATTTTATTTTATGATCTTCACCATATTGATCTCATTAGATGGTGGTTCTGCATTCTAGCTAGTGAATGGAAGAGCTGCAAACAAGAAATTTGTTAGATGTTATCTGACTTAGCATGCCTAATTTTGAAGGAAGTGGTAGGAAACAAGCCACTGAATGGACTAAAGTAATGAAAAAAAGTCATCTAAAGCAACAGGTACACAAGACAGGATATGTGCTCAGCTCAAAGTGCAGAAAGCAGTTTCTTGGATTCTTTAAGATCAGATGATCCATCAAATGAAACTGTCTATTGAATAACAAACATTGATTAGTTTGATGATCCTACAAACAAGACATTTTCAATGCTATTGTCATCATCACTCCAGTCACAATGATTGCTAACAGAGACTTCAGTTGTGTCTGTTCATCTTTGTCATCCAGAGATTAGCAATTATGACACTAACAACTGAAAGGCAAAGACTTGAGCCTAAAGTGTTCTTTAACACTAACCTCATCCCCCTCAGTGTAGCACAAAATGAGAAACAAAGAGACTGAAGCACTTCACCCTGGATATATCTCCACACACATTTTTAACTTACAAGTCCACTAATACATGCTGCTAGAATCAGCAGTAACATTAGTATAGCAGAACCTCAGCGTTACAAATACCAGAGTTCCAACCTGACCGGTCAGCCACACACCTCATTTGGAGCTGAAAGTACACAAAACAGGAAGCAGAAGGTAAAAAAAGGAAAAGAAAAAAAAACAATACAGAATGGTGTTAAATGTAAACTACTAAAAAAGGGAAAAGGAAAGTTTAAAAAAAGATTTGACAAAGTAAGGAAACTGTTTTTGTGCTTGTTTCATTTGAAATTAAGATGGTAAAAAGCAGCATTTTTCTTGTGTATAGTAAAGTTTCAAAGCTGTATTAAGTCAGTGTTCAGTTGTAAACTTTTGAAAGAACAACTATAACGCTTTCTTTAGCGTTATGAGCAACCTCCATTCCCAAGTGTTTAACTCTGAGGTTCTACTGTACAAGACTGAACACTAGCCATGACCTAATAACAGCTACAAGCATTTATGCAGGGGGGAAAAAAAGGCATCTCTACTTAAAGCTAAGGAGTCTATATCTGAAAAGAAAACTGTGCAAGTAGCTGCAAATGTCACCCAAAGAGGGAAAAAAAATGAAAAAGTTGTCTTGTTTCGATAAACTGAAAATATGTTGAGAGAACTCAAGTGTTTTCATCTTAAACATTGGACGTATAGGTGTTTAGCACACTAGTTAAACCTTGTTGAGAAAGTACTGACAGTCCTAAAGCACACTGTGGAAGTTTAGAAGTTTTCCTGCAACCGCTAGCAGCTTCTTGGGTTTGTTGGTTGAAAAAGGAGAGCAGATCACTCCCACTTCCCAACTACACTTGGTGGAACACAGGAAAGTTATGGCGGTTAGATGCATAAATATGCTGAAATTTGCATTAAGCGCAAGGAGAACTTTCATCAAAATATAGCATGTTTTACATAACAAGGGAACAGATAAAGACACTAAGCTTACAAAAAGAAAAGGAGTACTTGTGGCACCTTAGAGACTAACCAATTTATTTGAGCATAAGCTTTCGTGAGTTACAGCTCACTTCATCGGATGCATACTGTGGAAACTGCAGAAGACATTACATATACAGAGACCATGAAACAATACCTCCTCCCACCCCACTCTCCTGCTGGTAATAGCTTATCTAAAGTGATCACTCTCCTTACAATGTGTATGATAATCAAGTTGGGCCATTTCCAGCACAAATCCAGGTTCTCACCACCCCCTCCCCTTCCAAAAACCACACACACAAACTCACTCTCCTGCTGGTAATAGCATTGTAAGGAGAGTGATCACTTTAGATAAGCTATTACCAGCAGGAGAGTGGGGTGGGAGGAGGTATTGTTTCATGGTCTCTGTATATATAATGTCTTCTGCAGTTTCCACAGTATGCATCCGATGAAGTGAGCTGTAGGTCACGAAAGCTTATGCTCAAATAAATTGGTTAGTCTCTAAGGTGTCACAAGTACTCCTTTTCTTTTTGTGAATACAGACTAACACGGCTGTTACTCTGAAACCTAAGCTTACAAAAGCAATTAAAATAGGGTTTGAAGGGATTTCACAGATTATAGGCTACCACCCAGACTGCAACAGTAATCTAAATCTGTCCTGAATTAATTAAAAGAACTGCAGCCACAAAAATCAAACTCAAAAAACAATTCAGAAATGCTGTAGAACCTTTCCAATACTTAACCAATGTGACAGATCCCAAATATGGATGTCACAGGTTTAGATTCCTCTGCCACCGTCAAAAAGTCTAAAACATGGTTGCTACCATGCAACCCCAATATCCTTCCTGCTATTCTAAAACTTAAAACTGAAGACCCAGATCTGTTTGTGAAGGAGCTTGCATCAAAAATGAGCAAGTAAAAGCACATTCAGACTGGTTTGGTCAAACCCTTGTAAAACATAGTAGGTGATGAAAAAGGTGGTACACTGATTACATTATCAGCTTCTGGAGGCAGGTACAAGAGTGATAGCCCTAACTAATTAGACTGGAGACACTTCTTGCACTTTACTTAGACAAGTGCAAGATCTCCATTAGAGACAAGGTGTATGCTTTTTAAAAAAAAATAGTTGAGGAATAAATAAGTTTACTACAGCCATATCTACACTTTACAAGCTTACAGTGGCACAGCTGTATCGCTGTAAGAGTGCTTGAGTGGCTGTGTTATGCCGACAGGAGAGAGTTCTCTCGTCGACGTAATAAAACCAGTTCAACAATCAGCAGTAGCTATGTCGATGGGAGAGCGTCTCCCATCGACATAGCACTGTGCACACAAGCGTTTATGCCAGCAAAACTCATGTCACTCGAGGGATGTTTTTTCACACCCCCGAGCAATAAAAGTTTTGCTGACCTAAGTGCTAGTGTAGACATGGCCTAAATGAATCATAGTATGAATTTCATTTCTAAAACCTCTGTAGGTTTTTGTCCTCCCTCCCAGGAAAAAGTGGGGTATTTTGTATGATTGGAAAAAAGTCGCACTTCTGTACTATTGTCAAACAAAAGTTTCCATGAGCAACCTTGAAGTAACCAGAAAAGTAAAATCAGTCAAATAAAACATAGCATTCAAACAATGTCTTTAGCGCAGTCATACATGTATGTTGAGGATGGGAGCAAGTATCAAAATATCAATCATATAACAAGTATTAATATTTATCCAGGAACGCAGTCAGGGGCTGCTCTGAAGAATTCCCCAGGTCTTTAAATGATTGGCGTTTACCCCAAGCACACAGAGATGTGTAACTGTGCCTTAGAACAAGTGTAATAATTCATTTCTACAGGGTTCCTCAAACATATTTGAGAAACAAATCATCTGGATGGAAGATACATAAATTCAGTCTACACAGGTCAGGGCACCTCCAATAGCAGAGTGATGCCTGTTTGTGTTTGAGTTGCATGCATGAAAGTAATGCTTCTGAAAATCTGTGACATGAAAGCCCTGAAGACTGAAATCCTCTATTCACAGAACAAGTACAACACCGGCACCTGCTGTGCATCCTTTCTTACCTTTTCATGCCTTTGTCTCAACCTTATCCTAGAGAGATTACCTTTAGGGATGAGAGGAGCATTTAGTTCCCAGGCCTACTCAACATTAAGAGAACAGTTATTGCTAATTGGGATGATGATGGTTTGTGACATGAACTGAACTGACACCACTGTACCCATTTCAAACGATAGACCACAAACTGCCATTAGATAAAAAGAAAAGGAGTACTTGTGGCACCTTAGAGACTAACCAATTTATTTGAGCATAAGCTTTCGTGAGCTACAGCTCACTTCATCGGATGCATACTGTGGAAACTGCAGAAGACATCATATACACAGAGACCATGAAACAATACCTCCTCCCACCCCACTCTCCTGCTGGTAATAGCTCATCTAAAGTGATCACTCTCCTTACAATGTGTATGATAATCAAGTTGGGCCATTTCCAGCACAAATCCAGGTTTTCTCACCCTCCGCCCACACACAAACTCACTCTCCAGCCATTACCAACCAGGGAAGAATTCAAGTGGTTACCCTAGCTGTCAAAGGCTACATACTCATTACTTGTCTGAGCCATTCAGTTACGCAGCCAGGCAACTGCCAGCTCGCCCATGTCAGAAACAAGAAGGGTCCTTAAATGGAGATAGGCAACAGTGTGGTGGGCCTCAGGCTACTTAGCTAATAAGACATTTCAATGCCTGTGATATGCTTAGAGTGGAGATGGAAACTTCACAACTGAAGGCTAGTGAAAGCAGCACCAGCCTGGCACAGGGTCAGGGTTGTGGCAACCCCATGAAAAGCTCAGACCTGTAGCAAGAGGTAAGTGGTGTTACAACATGCTTCACCAGCAATATTACAATCACAGAAAGTATACATCATACAGATACATTCATGTTCAGTAATTGTGGGGGAAGGGTTAGCAGACAGCAGGGCAGAAATGCAGTCCGGAAAGCGGACGCCTTACAGCTTGTTAGCGGCCAGAGTATTTCCCCAGGGTAGGGGCAGGGGCCAGTGTCACATTTCCTGGGTTCCCAAATCCCTGACCCACAGATTCAGGAAGCAACTAAATGTTCAGAAGAGCTATCACAGAACAGAGGGATGTTTTTTTGGGGGGGAGGGGAACCCTGCCCTCCCCCCACAGCTCAGGAAGGAGGGGGGGGAGGGAGGGAAGAAGGGTAACCCTGCCCCTCCTCCCCCCGGGGCTCAGGTTGAGGGGGAAGGTAATCCTGCCCCCTCCCCCCCGGGATAACCGGGGCTCAGGGTGTGGGGGAGGGGTAACCCTGTCCCCCCGGGATAACCGGGGCTCAGGGTGTGGGGGAGGGGTAACCCTGTCCCCTCCCAGGGCTCAGAGGGGGAGGGGTAACCCTCCCCGGGGCCCAGGAACGGGTGGGGGTAACCCGGTTCCGTCCGCCCTCCATCCCGGCCCGGCTGAGGTAGCCGTGGGAGGAGGCCGAGCGGCGCTCCCCAGCACACCGGCCCCTCAGGCCCCAGCACACCGGGCGCCCCTCACCAGGTTCACCATCCCGGCGCGCTCCCCGGCGCTCGGGCCGGGCCGCAGCCGCCGGTTTGAACAGGCCTCCGTCCCGCCCCTTAGGGTTCGGCCCGGCCCAGGGCGCTCATTGGTCAGTGCCTTCCCGCTCTCACCCAATCCCCTGCAGGCAGGCGGCTGGCGCCGGATACAAATAAACCCCGCCCCCCGACAACGGACGAGCCCTATTCCCCATCTGCTCCCCAAGCAACATGAAAAGCACCTTCTGATTGGCCGAAGTAGGCGGGCTTTGGAAACGCCCCCAAGCTCTAACGGGATTGGTTAGCTGGGAGGAAGGGGCGGGGATTATGACTGGTCAATGCTGAGTGGTTAAAAGGGCAGCTGTGGGCGGATGCACTGTTGCCAGGGTGCAGTAGGATGGTTGCTAAGGAGCAGCCCCTGGTGGTGTTTGGCCAAGGGAGGCTGGGGCTGAAGATGGTTGCTAAGGGGTGGGGCAGCAGCAGGGTATTCACCGGCAGGGGTATAGGACAGCTGCCAAGGGGTGAAGGAGACAGTAGGGTCCTTGCTAGCCAAGGCAGCCCCTGCGAGCCCCCAGGGCTTGAGCATCCTACAGCTCCTTTCACAGCTGGATGGGTGGAATTTGAATAGTTTGGTCAACACCATTGGTAAAAGGGGAACAAAATACAGTCTCCCTCCACAGGGTGTATTGATCCTTAGCTAGCTCTGTCGTAACTGTCTAACAGGCTCCTCTGGAGAGAGTGGCACAGAGTGGCCATAACCAACCTGTAGGGATCAAAGTTCTTTGCATGCTCTGTGTGTGCTGCACCTGTCTTGCCTCTGTGGTTGTCTTTGGCATAGCAATAGCCTGATGCTCTGCTTAGCACAATGGAAAGGAAGAGGGAGGGAACTGTTGGTTAAGTGCAAGGGTGAACTCCCTACCACTTACGAAAGGTGCTATGATGGTAGATTCTTCATGCACGAGATCAGAGGCTGAGTTTGAAAAGATGATCCTGAGTTCATACAGAGAGAGTACATGGGAGAGGAAGGATGCTTTTGTGGTTAGAGTACTGGATGGGGACTTAGGTAATCCCTCTGGCTCTCCTGCAGACTTGCAGTGTGACCTTGGGTCTGCCACACACATGGTAATGTTCAAAGGGCCTTTGACTGTTCTGCAGGGTATTTGGCTAGCCAGTTTTGGGTACACAGAAAATAAGGATTTTTCAAAGAATGCAGGCAGTGCTTGTTATTTCAAATTATGCACTTAGTATTGGATGCCCAGTCCTCAGCTGGACACCCAGTCACTGGGATGTCAGAACCTCACTACTATATGATGCTGTGCTCTCCAGGCACTGCTGTTCTCCTAGGGGCAGACTCACCATTGCATCAGCAGGGAAAGAGAGAAGGCAGCTTGCACCATCTCTGTTCAGGCATTGCTGGGGACTAATTTAGCCCTTTCATAGGATAGGGTAGTCCTGAAGGTTGCCATAACTTGTCTTTGTTGTGATGACTCCTGTTAGAAATTTCTGGGACATAGAAACAGCAAGATGCTGGTCTGCCCCAGTCACATCCGTGGTCTAGAATGCCCTCTGCAGCCAGGGTTCTTGTGAGGTGGCGCACAGATGGGCAAATTGTCTCTACGCATGGTTTAGGGGCTCTAGGTACTAGAGTAATTGCACCTGTCCTATGGCCTGTTTGCCCTAGCCTAGCTGGCAGAAAGGGAAGACCACAGGCCAGTAATGAATCTCATCTGGCCCCATTTTAAAAAGTCACAGCCTCCCCCTGGTTCAGAGTGTTTCAGCCAACCTCTTATCGGGGCATCTATGGCTTATTGGGACAGTACAATGACATAGGAACATGAATTAAAAGCCTCAGAAATAGTGAGGAATTAATAGTTTGTTTGAAAAAGTGATATTAGAACAGCATTTCACATTCTGTTTTTGAGCATTGTAGAACTAGATTGTGAAGCGGCTAATTGGTAGTTTCTATACAATCTAATAAAACTTTTCAAAACCTTGGGTAGGCACAAATAGCTATTGGGGCCTGATCTAGGGGTTGAAGTGGGATCCCAGGAATTTTCACAGCAGATGTTTGGCTGTAGCAAAGCTGCTGGAATGCACTGAGGTTGGTGGGATTTTCAAAAGGGCCTGTGCAAACTTTCTCGGTATAAAGAAAAGCTATATTAGGTTCATATTAGCATACATAAATTATACCCTTGTGTATGCTAATAAAATCTGAATGAGGAGCATTATAAAAGCAGGCTATTTTCAGATATCTCTGGAAAATGGCCAAAAATCACAGGATTTAGGGTAGGTGCAGGTGATGGGATCATCAAGAAAACCCAGAAATTGACACCATAGTTACAGAAATGACCTTGTGGCATCTTAGAGACTAACCAATTTATTTGAGCATAAGCTTTCGTGAGCTACAGCTCACTTCATCGGATGCATACTGTGGAAAGTGTAGAAGATCTTTTTATACACACAAAGCATGAAACAATACCTCCTCCCACCCCACTCTCCTGCTGGTAATAGCTTATCTAAAGTGATCACTCTCCTTACAATGTGTATGATAATCAAGTTGGGCCATTTCCAGCACAAATCCAGGGTTTAACAAGAACGTCGGGGGGGGGGAAGGTAGGAAAAACAAGGGGAAATAGTTTACCTTGCATAATGACTTAGCCACTCCCAGTCTCTATTACCAGCAGGAGAGTGGGTTTGTGTGGCGGGGGGTGAGAAAGCCTGGATTTGTGCTGGAAATGGCCCAACTTGATTATCATACACATTGTAAGGAGAGTGATCACTTTAGGTAAGCTAATACCAGCAGGAGAGTGGGGTGGGGGGAGTATTTTTTCATGCTTTGTGTGTATAAAAAGATCTTCTACAGTTTCCACAGTATGCATCCGATGAAGTGAGCTGTAGGTCACGAAAGCTTATGCTCAAATAAATTGGTTAGTCTCTAAGGTGCCACAAGTCCTCCTTTTCTTTTTGTGAATACAGACTAACACGGCTGTTACTCTGAAACCTGTCAGAAATGACCTTGTTGAGGGAGAGCTGATGGGGGAGTACATGAGTACCCTTTTTGCCAGCACAGAGCAGAGGCTGTAAATGAGACAAACAACATCAGAAGAGATGGCAAGATACACAATTTGTGGCAGGAGAGTGAACCCCATCTTTACATCTTCTGTGGCTGATATGGAACAGGTATGTTTTCTATTTCTATAAACTGCCTTATCTAACCCTGGTCCCTTCAGAGTTATATGTGCAACACTGACAATGTTCAGTACAGATGGGAAATTCACCATGGTATAGTATGCTTGCAGTTTTTTCCGCCCATTCATGGGGAAGATAACATAGTCTTTATACTTGTGGATTGTATTTAGGCACACAACAGCAATGGACTTGCTGATAACAGTAGTGTTCCCAATGGTCCTTTGAAAAGACCAAGTGACAAGTATGCCAAGTGCATTGTTGATCAGGACTTGTGTAGAGATGGGATTTTGTAAAGACATCATGTCCATACTGCCCATCATGAGGTCAAAAATGGTAAGAACAATCCATAGTGCTGTCTGGGTATTGAGAAATGTAAGAATAGAGCCACCGATCTATTGTCAAAGATAAGATAGCTATCTAAATGTCAAATCTGCAGTGAATGCAGAAAACAGGATATGAAAGAATCACTGGGAACCACATGAGATTCCTGATCACCCTTGGCCCAAGATTGGTGTAGATATATTCAAATTAAATGGCAAATATTAGTAGACTACTACTCAGGTTTGTGGTGTTTTTTAAAAATTAAACTTGCCCAACACATCATATTGAGATATTACAACATTTAAATTGCAGTTTGCTCCCCAGGGTACATTAGATGAGTTAATAACAGGTAATGGTCCACAGTTCATGAATGGCTTATTTGTGCAGTTCTCTTGATATATCAGTTCAAACTCACCAACATGAAGCCCTTACCTTTCTGAATTTCTACTCTGTCTAAGGAATGGAGTCTTGTTCAAAGTATTAATAAATTGTATAGTCAGTTGCTTGACCACACTTTGGTTTGTTATGAAATATACTCAAAAGACCAAATAAGCAATGTCAGTCAGGTTTATTAATATGGCACAGGAAAGGGTTCTATATGATACCAGTCTCTAAAGCTGATGACAGAACAAGGAGTAATGGTCTCAAGTTGCAGTGGGAGAGGTTTAGGTTGGTTATTAGGAAAATCTTTTTCACTAGGAGGGTGGTGAAACACTGGAATGCGTTACCTAGGGACGTGGTGGAATCTCCTTCTTTAGATATTTTTAAAGTCAGGCTTGACAAAGCCCTGGCTGGGATGATTTAGTTGGGGATTGGTCCTGCTTTGAGCAGGGGGTTGGACTAGATGACCTCCTGAGGTCCCTTCCAACCCTGATATTCTATGATTCTAAAGAACAGCCCCGTGCAGCGATGTTACATTTGCCTCATGCAGAAGGTGTGCTCGCCAAGTTATATATTACAACTGGTATTCTTAATATGATGATTTTACAAGTTACATCTCTGTACATGACACTAAAACCCAACTCATCAGTTTGTCCCAGTTTCCTAATAGTCCCTACTTTCCTAGCTTGTATTAAGACATGGAACAAGTGTATCTTGATTTTGACAAGTTTCCTATCTGCTTATGCCAAATGCTTATTTCAGCTAATGCAAGGAGTTATGGGATAATTAGCCTAAATGAATAGGATTAAGTTATAGGCCAGTTTAGGCTATCACTGTTACAAGTATTTGTGCTTAATGTTATGGGTTTTTAATGCATACTAATCTATGTATGGTGCTGATAATGCATATTATTAATATGATATATTTATATGCTAGCCAGCATATAGTCATCAACAAAAGAGAGGGTGGGGAAGAATCTTGGAAGTATGGTGTAGGAGGACAGAGTGAGAGATTTGGTTCGCTTTTGAGGGAAGTTGTGAGGAAGGGGTCCTGAGTAAGGGGACGGTTTACGTAGAAAATTGTAACATGTTTGAAAAAATATTAAAGTAATTTGGCTTTCTAGACAAAGATTGGTCAGGAACTAATAACGGCTTGGTAGAGGAGGAATTGGGGATAATTTTATATTAAATAAATCATTGTGGGACTA